ATTTATTATTGTATTATTAATTAGTTATTTATTGGAATAATGTATCATGTAGTAAGGAAGAAATAAAAAAATAAATATAGAAAAAAATACTTAAAAAGTGTAACAAATATTCTCTATTCGTATAAAGCTAATATAAACTTAAAATTTAATTAATAAATTTTAATTGCAAAAATAAAATTAATTATTGCTGCGAACTAATTTATAATATCATTTAAATTCTAAGAGCATATAAATTAAGTGCACATATCTAAAACCATGGAAAAATATATAATATTCCAAAAAAATTAATCTCAAAATTTTTTAAAGGAATTTTTAAGACCTAATTAAATTGCATAAGTGAATAATTATTGAGCAGGCAGGCGACAGACTTATCAAGGGAAAGTTGCCTCCAAACCTAATTCTTCAATTACTCAATTCGTGTTTCGTCATCCATATAGGCAAGGGTAAAAGTAATTCAAAACCAAAAGTGAAACCAAATGTTGTGAATTACTAAAAAAGAAATTTAAACTAGTAGGAATTTTGAGAAACTTAGCAAATAAAATGACTAGGATTTAAAATATTAATTAATGTTAATTAAGAATAGAAAACGAAATTTTTTAGAAAATTAAAGTGATTTAGAAACTTTGGCCTACTGAAAAGTTCCCCTACACGAATTGTGCATGTAAACCTAAAATAAATTATATACTATCTATCAAAATATAAAAATAATAATAATAAGGCTAGTAAATAGCAAATTTTAATTTAACTTACCTAGAATTATATATTTGAATTCCTGAGTGTGGACTAGCATTTGCTACACTATGTGAAGTTGAATAGTTTGTTACTGCTAACTGTATAAATAGAGAGCGCTAATACAATGTAAAGATGAGTGTTAGCTGCTACCTGTGAGAGCTATTGTAAAAACCTATGCTGTAAACTTTAATAATGTAAAATACTTGTTTTGTGTGCAAAAATGTTGCTAACTTTGAGGCATTGTTAAAATGTGTAAAAAAGTAAAAATTGTGAACTGCTACTGTTTGTGAAAATAGATGTTGCAAGGCTACTAACGATGTAAAAATTTGAAAAGATGTTATTGAAATTTTTTTTAGTATAACACATTTATTAATAACATTTATTGATAACATTTATTAATAACATTTATTGATAACATTTATTGATAACACATTTATTGATTCCTGATAAAACACATTTAGCCCATACATTTTAATTGATGAGGTGGGATCAGCGGAATGTGATGAATCAAACATAACAAAAATAGTAAAAATTTTTATTGCTTTTCAAAAAGAAGCATCAGATGAAGGAAATTATGAGCAATGCATGAACTTAGATCTTCCATTACTTAGTTTTATTGAAGCATATGATATTTTAAAAGCCTTAAAGTATTTTGCACTCATAATAATGGTGAAAAGTTTAGGTTAATTCCTGAATTAGAATTTCGCTTTGAAAATCGTATTATAAGTATAAAATGCCATTGGAAGAGTATTACTGATTATTTTAAATCAAAATAAAATGCAAGTGCTTTAATTATTAATACATATTAATGTACAGTTTTGTATCATTATTAATTTAAATGTTTCAATACATTTTAAAATAACAAAATACTTTTTGTGTTAATAGTGCCCTTTAGTTAACGTTAATGAAAAAATGTTAATTCTGTATGACGAAAGGAAACTTAATTTTTTTTTTTTTTACTTCTGATTTGAGAACACCTTTAATTTCGAGACCATTTCACTTCGGTCCCAAAGATATCCTTAAAAGCGGAATATACAAGGTGTGTTCGAAATGTTCGGTGAATTTTACCATAAAAAAAGGAAACAAGAGAAACAAGCAAAAAAGTTTTACTGGCCTTCAAAATATTCGCCATTAGCAACAATAAACTTTTGACATCGGGTGTACAATTGTTGGAAACTGTCTGCAAAGGCTTCTTTCGCTATGGCTCGAAGCACATTTGTCACACGTTGTTGGATCTCAGTAATGACGGAAAAGTGTTGGCCTTTCAGAACTCCTTTGAGGCGGGGAAACAGGAAGAAGTCCGCGGGAGCCAGATCTGGAGAATATGGAGGGTGATTCAAAACTGAAACCTGGTGCCTGTCGAGGAATTGGGTTACACGGATCGCAGTGTGCGGCCGGGCGTTGTCATTGAGCAGATTCCACTATCCATTCCGGTACTGTGGCCGAATCCGGCGTATGCGTAGCAGCAGCCGTTTCAGAACCCCCTCGTAGTATTCCGCATTGACGGTTGTAGCCGCGGGTACAAATTCACAATGGATCAAACTCTTACTGTCGAAAAAGACGACCAACAACGTCTTGATCCTGGATTGTGTCAAACGACTTTTTTTGGGAGCGGGTGACGACGTTGAACACCATGCCATGGATTGCCGTTTGGTCTCAGGATCGTATTGATAGCACCACGACTCATCCCCTGTAATTATTGTTTCCAAGAATTGTGGATTCCGGTCACACGTGTCGATAAAACTCCAGAGGTTTCCATTCGGTGTTGCTTTTGCTCGTCTGACAGCGAGTGCGGTACAAACCGGGCGCATATACGTTTATGAAAATGTTTGTGCACAATGGTGCTCACACTGTCTAGGCTTATCTGCAATTCGCCAGCTATCATTCTTAAAGATAGTCTTCGATCTGCCGCAAGCATCCGTCGAACTCATTCCACATTGTCTGGAGTTGTGCTTGTTGTAGGACGCCCCGACCGCGGCTCATCTTTGACATCCTCCTTTCCGTCTGTAAAGCGTTTAAACCACTCATAAACACACCTTTTACTCACTGCTTCTGGACCGTAAACTTTCTCTATCATGTAATGTGTCTCCGTCGCCGTTTTGCCTAACGTGAAGCAAAACTTTATGTTTATGCGTTGCTCCATGTCACACTGACAATCTTTCTCACACTGACTGTGTTAAACTGCTCATAGCATGCGCTTTCTTTTATCTGTCGTAAAATGGCCGTTAGATGGCTCTAGATGACATTTCGCTCACTGCGTCTGCGTGAGTGCAAGATCCTAACCGGCGTGGTTTTTAATTATGAGACCAATCACTGAACTTTTCGAACACACCTTGTAGGATAGGTGATGATCTACACAGTTGTGTAGAAAGTAATCGCCAGCTGTATTCTAGCCTGAAAAACCACATAATTTTCTGTTGTTGTGACTTTAACATCAGAGCAAGTCCACGAACTTCATCGTGCCGAAACGTGCAATATTGCGCGTGTCGTTGGCAAAACCCTTGAGCACCGTACAGGTGATAGTACGACTTTTGCTCAGTTCCACCTCCAATTTTGAAGGAGAGCACCATTCAGGGGAACGGGTCTGAGGGTCTTCCACCCCTTTTCTCGTACCCTCAACCTCTCGAGAGTAACATAATTTTCTTCCAGTCTAATGGATCATGGTAAGTAAAACTGTGTTTTAAACTATCATTTTATGTGAAAAACTTACTTATGAACAAAATCGATGCTTAAAGTCTAAGTTTAAAATGAATGCATCATTCAACTTTTAACTTTTAGTAAGTTCAGGCTCTGGATAAAAAAACTGGAGATATATTTTCGTTATAGTTTTCTTTACATAATTTAACAAAGGAAATAATTTATTTTTGCTTAATCTAAGCTTAATTTGATAGAATGGTAGTAGACTTTAATTGTAATTAGTGGTGAGCTAATAAATATAATTTTAACAACATTTTACCTTTGGAAACAAAATAGCAGATTCTAATTAAATATTTTATTTTTTACAAAAACAAGAAATACAAATAATTGTGAGTGATACAAAACATTTTTAAAATAAAAAATCTTAAAATTAATTTTTTTAAAATCACAAAATGATATTGAATTGCATAAAATAACATGTAAATTTGCCGCAGTCAGAAGCTACCATACATTATTTTCTTCACACCAGTTAATTTTCTAGGAGGTTCTAAGTCGAATGGTTGATTTTTCAGTAAAGGGTTTTCCTTAAGATGTAAAATTTCTTAAAGCAATTTTTTATTTAAGAAAAATTAAACTAGTAAACATTAATGGTAAATCAAGCAATAAGACAATATTCAGTTCATCGTCTAGTTGTTAATCAGCTTAATACCCAACAATAAATTTATTGAAAACAGACGGCTTGCTTAATTTATCTACAGTGCGCTTAATTGAACTAAACGCTTTGTTTAGCCGAGGGCTTTGAGGTCACAAGAAACATAACCTGAGCTTCCTTGTAGGCAACGAGACCTTACTACATCACAAAAACCGGTATAGGAATTTTGCCTAAATGTTCTAACTTTTCGACTTCATGCTAACTTAGTATAAGAACCAATCAATCATAGCGAAGCAAATAAGAACTGTACATTCAATCGGCTGTTTTAGTCAGCAGCACGTTTCCGCTTGGACAACTTTACTTTCCTCGATGGTTAAGGCTTAAATTACACTGGTGAAATAAATTAAGAGATTTTGCATATTTTATCGAATTGCATGAAAACAACTGAACTGAAGGAAACACCACTGCTTCTAGATAAAAATGCAAATCTTGTACAGCAAATAGGTAAGCCTACACGTGTGTGTAAGCGGAGCCAGCAGAAAAACAGGCTTTATTAACGCGTGGAGGGTAAGACGAATTGCGTTCGCTAGCACACCTCGGCGAATTTCTTGGTGTTATCTTGCACGAATCGGTTCAATTCACATCGGAACAGTAAAAATGAGTAACCACCAACGTTTAGATGATGGAATGTGGAGAGGGTGCGAATTGTGGAGAGGCTAGAGGAAGGCCAATCGCAAGTCCATATATGCAGAGAGCTTAATTTAACCCACAGCGTCGTGTGTAGCATATGGAAACAGTTCCAGGATACTGGATCCATCGAGAGAAAGCCTGGGCAAGGTCGTCCAAGAGCCGCGACGGCCAGAGAAGATCGTTATATGTCCATTTAGCGAGGCGTACTAGAGGGGCTACAGCTTCTCAGCTCTCTTGGGACCTGTATGCAGCCGCAGGAACCCGTGTAACAAGGGTGACTGTTTCCAAAAGACTGAATGAGAGAGGGTTGTTTGCCAAAAGACCGGCTGTTTGCGTCCCGCTGACGTCCCGCAGTCCGATTAGCATGGTACAAGCAACATAGTCATTGGAGTACGGAGCAATGGGCGACCGTTCTGCTCACCGACAAGTCCTGTTTTAGCCCAAACACCGATTCTCGTCGTACTTTCATATGGAGAGAGCCAGATACTCGCTACCTACTCCCGAATGTCCGCGAAATCAACAATTATGGCGGTGGCGGTGAAATGGTCTGGGCAGACATCATATTGGATGGGCGCACATCTCTCTACGTCTTTGACAGAGGCTCTGTGACTGGTGCGAGGTATGAGGTTTTGGATTTCCGGAGTGCAGTGGGCCCCGAGTTCATCTTAGAGGGCTTTAACATGAGGCCACATAGAGTTCTTCTGGTCGACGAATTTCTCGAGAGTGAGGATATTTGCCGGATGGATTGGACAGCAAGGTCTCCAGACCTCAACCCTATAGAACATGTCTGAGATGCTGTGGGAGGGCAACTGCAATTCGCAACCCCCTCCGAGAACCATCAAGGAACTGAAAACAGCGTTACTGAATGAGTGGGACCAATTGCCACAGGCACTGATATACTGCCTTATTTCCAGTATGACATCATGCTGCGAGGCCTGTATGGCTGTGAGAGGGGACCATACCGCCTCTTACAGCCATACAAGTATTTTCTTTTGTGTCTTCTGCAACCAATGTTTCAGACCTTCAGACTCCCATTAGTGTTACAGACGAATATGTCTGTCTGTTATAACCGTTGAATGTTTATTTTGTTTGTATTATATCCACCTATGTTCAAATCAAATTTTATTAAAACCTGTCTAGTAGTTATGGAGATCGTAAATTAAAGATGAAAATTCTCTTAATTTATTTTACCAGTGTATATTATTTACGGCATAAGTCTATGACAGTAATGACGAGTAGACCATCGTGTGAATGGTCCCAAACGGAACCAAATCAGATCCTAATTCTCAGGAACGGAAAGACCAGCGTAAGTGTGATTAAGAAAAGGATGATCTTTTTTCTTGGAATAAATAAACAAGCGCACAAAAAGAACAAGGGGCTCCCACAAATTATCGCAACACCTCTTTAACTGATTATAATAAAAATATTAATGTTAAAAATTTGTTTTGTAATATTGTGAACTTTTAAAATGTTATTGTGTAATGCTTTAAAATATGTGAGTGATGAGTAAACAGTAAATATAGTTCACTGATTTTCAGAATTTTTGGATGCAATTCTCTTATACCATAGGTATCGACAATTATAAAAGAAGAACATGCAGTATTGCTGAAATTAACGTTGTAGATTTTTTAAAAAATTATTTTATTCGTTTATCATATGTGCTTTTAAAATTAAGTATTTGATGCTCGAGTATTTTTTCTCGCTTCTTGATTAGCTAATTTTGCACACATTTCGTATTTGGAAGATAGTTAAAAGTTTTTAGGAAAGTGGCCAAATAGGATATAATTCGTGTTATACTAACGGATGAAAGATAATTTTTTTTTTATATAAACTATTTTCAGCTTCCGTCGTTTTGCCCTTAAAAAATCAGTACAATTTCTGCAGGTTTAGAATCCTGCAGAAATCCTGCAGGTTTGGAATCCTGCAGAATCCAAGAGATAAAGACACAATTTATCTCATTGCACAAATTTAAAATAGGATTACCAAAACACTTCTTCCTCTGGAAAAATGGAAATGAAATGTTTCACAGACCAGTTTGTAGATTTTCGAAAAGAATTCTGAGAAATTTTGTTGTACATTACTGAATAAAGAAAATATTTTTCATTTAAAAATTCATAAAATCATCTAAAAAATCTAGTAATAAGGCCTTCTGTTAGGAATTTTTTAAAAGAAGCTAATCGGCCTACCACACCAATAGATTAGGATTTTACTGGCAAAATGAGTGAATCATTTAAAAATAAATCTAATAATGAAACAAAATCTTGTAGTTAAGGCTTGGTGTTAGGGTTATTTGCAAGAAGCCAATCAGCGAGCCATACTAATGGATTATCAGGTTTTTGCCTGCACAATTGAATGAGCCCCTTCAGAAGTATTGGATTAACTGTCTTTGATAAGTACTCTCCAGATGCTCCTAACTTGGATTCCGTGTCGAATTTAGCCTCGGGGAAGAAAAATCGGATTTCCTTTTCCGCCTGGGTGTGAGTTTCACTACCATGTACCGCGTTGCGTAAGATGGATTCACCACCGAATTTGGCTCTGATACTGTCTGGCATGATTTCGCGAGCAACTCTTGGATCTTCAGGGCCCATGAGGCGCACAAGTTTTGCAACTGCACCACGGCCACCCAACACAAGAATTTCAACTGGACCACTGGTCATGAAGTCCACAAATTCTTCCACATCAGAAGTGGGAATTGGTTCTTCTACGTCTTCTATTGTGATAACTGGCATTTTGTACCTAGGATTTCTCGCCTTATCCGCTTCTATTAATTCCTGATACAGTTCGTAGTATCTCTTAGCATCTTCGTCTTCTCTAGCACGGATATAAAAGTCTCTTGCTTGTGTGGGTTTAAGATACATTCGTCTTCTGTGAAGAACGAAAAATTTCTCTTTTTTTACGATGGATTCGATGGCTTTAGCCTTAGATATTGCATTGGGCTTGATGAGCAGCAAAGTTCTTTCGAACTCAGGTGGAGGGAGATCATCTCCAAGACTTATAACTCTATTCTGATTTTCATTCGGCTCCATATCAGAAATATATTATGAGAATAATCAAAATATCGTTCCTGAAATGAAATAATCTGTAAGAAAAAATACATTTAAAATTTATTTTGTCTTGTATCAGAGTTAAATTATTTTGACATTCAGGCAGAAATGTACACATGTTGAAAGTAAGTAACAAAACTTCATAATATACATTTCTCAAGAGTTAAATAAAATCGCTCTTTGATGCAGTGCCACTGCGTGAGTCAGATTCGCGCCCTTTTGAGAAAAGTTATGTTTCAGCGTCCTTCCGTAAAAAAATATGAAAATCAAAATGAAATTAATTAAAAAGAGATTTATTTAGGACATAATATAACAAGCTACTTTTTGAAAACAAAGCATCTCAATAAATAATAACAATTCAAGTATAAAAAAGTCACAACGCAGTGCTATGTTTCGAGCTTTGGTATATATATATATATATATATCTCAAAAGTTGTATGATCTTAAATTCACTTAGTTCAGAAACAAGTTTTTCTAATACTTGCGCAGTAGCTGCAAATATATATATATATATATATATATAAGACTTAAAGGTAAAGGACGGTTAAAAAAGCTAAAGCTATTTAAAGTACATTTGATGCACCTAATTACAGAGTTTACAGGTAACACCATGTAAAAACAATTACACTAAATGAAAGCAGTTAAATTTTACGCGAAAAAGCCTTTGTCAAGAGTCATAATTTTGAGTATACCAGGGAAGAATTTAGGCAGATCAAGTAGACTGTTATAGATTTCTTCTAGAGGAAGTGAGGTATATAAGTTTTCAAAGTCATAGCAGTTAATGTTTTGGATGTTAATTATTTGAATGGTATTAATGATTGTTTTCGCACTAAATGAATTTAAGATCATACAACATTATATATATATATATAATGTTTATTCTCCTAGTTTTAGCCGTCACAAAAAGAAATACATAATGTCAACACAACAAAATATGTATTGTATGTAAGCAATCTGTATACAGTATACAACAATCAATAAAGTAATCCGTACCAAACCAGTTATTTACTATTTCAACACTGATAAATTGGTCAGTGTTATTTGTTAAATTTTATTTTGTATTGATAACAAATTATCTTTTATTAATCGCAAAAATGTTTTCTTGAAAATATACATGCCCATTTTACGTTGTCTATGAATGAATTAATTTGCTTTCTTATAAATATTTTAAAACATCGTGACAGAGTGTTTAAAAAATTTAATAAAATCTGAAGAAAACAGTTTTAGCACTGTTTAAGCTTTCTACGCGTATTTATTCTCCTACATTTCTTGGCATGTTTCCATAGCTACAGCACTGCTTCTTAGAAGTATCAGTTCTTGAAATATTTTTTCATTCTGTGGTTGGCGTAATCTGCATCGAGTGAAGTGTTATCAAAACTGTACCCTTTAAATTGGTTTGATTTATTTGATTATGACAAAATACTCAAGGGCTACCTGCCTAAGGGGTGGGATGACTTCTTCGAAGACTTTCTAACCTTTAAATTATTCTTTAAGTAATTGTTGTTTGGTTCATAGATGGTTAGATTAGGTTATTTGAATGTATCAAAGCCACGAAGACCTTCTGTCTAAAAGCAGGTATACCTTTCTGGAGGATTTAAGGGAAGCTGGTTCTTATTCATGTTATGCATAGAAAAACAACGAAAACCAACCATGCAGCTAGCCCGTTCGTCTGAGTTCGAAGCCGAAGCAGATCGAACTACCAGTACTAACGGTTAATCAAATGCACCGATTGCGAATCGATACATCAGAATACATTACTATCCAGAATAAAGTGGATAAGCACTTGATAAACTTTAAGGAAATTTAATACAAAAATATTTTATCCAGTGAACAACAATATACCTATGGCAATTAAAAGGAGAAAATCACATTTCTGTGATATAGAAATTCCTGTGATATTTCGGAAAGATAAATTGTGCGTTCATAAAATCATACTAGTTTTTATTGTAACAAAAATAAATCTGAAGGACAAAACTTCTTAGCATTCTAAATGAATAAAGTGATGTCAAATTCAAAATGATTTCAACAATTTTTAATAATTCCATTGTAACATGACTTACAATTTGAGGCAGTTATACATATTTCATTATAATCAGCTTCTTCAGGTATTGCCTTCATCTCGATTTAATCTTTTCTTTTAGATAAAATATCTGATATAGACACCATATGAATTGAAGGCCGATTATATCATACACATTATTTGCTGCATTTCATTTAAACTTATTTTCTCGATTTTTATTACAGATATATTTCTCATTCAAATAATTCAGTTCTCACTTCGCGACAAGGCAAAAATACATAAAAACTCGAAGCATCTTCGTTAAAAATTGTAAAAAAAAAAAAAAAAAAAAAAAAAAAAAATCAAATACAGAAGTAGAAAAACAACGAAAATTGCATGCAGATTAAATAAAGGCAAAAAAACCTTAACCGGAATATTTAGGACGACATAATTCAGTCACTCTTAAAGTAAAAAATGCGCAATTTACAACATGTAAGAATAAACAAATGAGCCCATCGAGCCAGGTAACAGATTGGGTATAATATATATATATATATATATATATATATATATATATATATATATATACTTTTAGTGCAACCAAAAAGGGAGGTTCGCAACTACATGTTGTAGCAGTCCCATATGCAAACTTTCTATGTTCTAAAGCTACTCGTTTTTGAATTATGTGAGATACATACATACATACATACATACGTACTTTAAAAAATTATATTATTGACTTCCTGAATCTGGGAAAAAAAAAAAAAAAAAAAAAAAAAAAAAAACCTCTGAAAATGCTAATTATCGCCCTCATTTTTCCGAGTGGCAACAGTCTCGTACGCTGGAGATAAAAATCTGCTTTATTTCGAGAAGTGTGGGCACAGCGATCGCTTTCAAATCGTAGAGTTGGTTAATAAAATTTTTTTTAAAGTTTTACAACGAAATAAAAATAGCATTGCCGAACATTAAATACATTATTCCCGATTCCAAAAATTAGTGGGAAGCCATTTCAACTGTTCAAATCTTTGTACGACTTTAATCAGACGAGATATTAATCAAAAACTCTGAAAACACTTATTTTTTCGAGTGGCAATAGTCTCGCGCGTTGGAGATAAAAGTTTATTTATATCTGAATTTATATCGCGATTATTTATATCGGATTTATATCGCGATTATTTATATCGGAAAGTGTTGCTACTGTTTGCTTTCAAATCGTAGGGTTTGTTAATTAAAAGTTTGTAAGTTTTACAAAATCTATATATATAAAGAAAAATGTTTGTTTGTGTGTTTCTTTGTTTGTTCGCGTTACTGATTTCTGATGAATTATGATTAATCTTTTGCCACATTAAATCAACTAAAATTGAATATAGATGAAATATTGGTCGGAACTCGAGCTTTTACGACCATTTAATTAGAAAGTCAAAAATCATTAAAAATTGCGTGCCTTTGTTCCTGATATAATGAGAGAGAATTTAGTTTATTTTTCTATCGAAATTTTTTATATGGGTTCCATATCGCATAAGACTGAAAAATGTATGAGTATAAATCGTATTTTTTTGTATCGTTATCAGAGGAGGATTACAGTCTCTCTTGTTAGATACATTACTCTCAATCTAACTTAACTGGTATCGGGTACTTCCGCTAGTATATAAAATATATGTAAGATAAAAAATACGTAAATCAGCTTTATAATTTAAAAGGTATTTCTCCTACCTTCTTAGCATGCCTTCGTGGTGTAGTGGTCTGCACGCTGGGCGCATATTCCAGAGGTCCGCGGTTTGATTCCCGGTGAAGGCGTTGCTAATTTTTCAACTCTCTCGCTTCGAAATAACATAATGTCTCTACATATTTAATTTACTAATAGTCTCTTGATTCCTCATTTTTAATTTGGATATTTCGTTTCTCTATTCTAAAAATAATAACATCGCTGGACTGCGTCCTTTCTAGATTAATCTATGCCACAAAGCGTGCGTAATGCTGATGACGTAGTTAATTGGGAACTTGAACTCTGAACTTTTGTATCCTAAACCAAAACCTTCTCTTGGTAAGCTTCTGTCTTGGATAAATGCGCACTTGTAGCTTCACCCTCTGTGTTATTAGGATGCAATCTCCTTGTGCTATCTTTCTATCGCAATAGTATTCAAAAATGTAGATTTTCTGAAAACAGGCACGATTGGAGTACCAAGGGAATTGTGGCGTCAATAGGAAATAAAAATGGAATTAAACCACCTCGACTGCCAAGTTTCTAAGTAATTAGGAATTCATGATTGTATATAAGAACATAATTCGTGAAATTAAATTAACAGAAAGATATTTTAGCAGCGACCGCTGACCTTTCTTTGTACTATGTACCCAGCTGGTAGATTAGTTGTATCGGCTTGGTCTTTTGCTAGCTGTATTTGCTCGCGTGACTGAAGGTCCTGAACTTAAGTTTACAATAGGACTTTTCTGCTGAATTGCATACTTCTAATTACTCCGCTGAATTGCATACTTCTAATTACGTAGTTTTATAGTAGCTTACATCCTGGAAGAAGCAGTGAGTTATTTGTAATACTTGTGCTGTTTGTTAAGTTAGAATGCAAAAGATTATTTAAACCAGCGGTGCCCAACCTTGTGCTCGCCGATCGTTTTGTATGTGCTCGCCAGCCTTATTAGGTACTATGAACAAAAGATATTTTTAAAATAACCATTAATTTATATCTCTTAATTGTTAAAATATGGTAAGCATTTATAGTCATAAGAGATATCTTGCAAGACGTTATAAAATAACTGATTGCTGACTGATGAACTTGATGGCGAAGCGAACATGGAATCTTATTGCTTCATTCCGATGTTAGATGGCTTAGCAGGGGAAAAGTACTTGAACAATTTGCAGAACTTCTCTCGCCAATAAAGCAGTTTTGGGAATCCGGAAACGAAAGTTATAAAGAATTGGACGATAATAACTGGTTATCCGATCTGTATGTTCTCAAGCATATAACAGCTAAACTGAACAAACTGAACGAAGATCTCCAGGGAAAAGTCCCAGTCAATTGAAAAATCCTTTTTCAATTGACTGGGACTGTATCTGCTTTTCAGATAAAGTTAAATTTGAGGGTAAATCAGATGAAAGAAACAAATTTCATCCATTTTTCAGAATTTATCAAGCCATATTAATAACCACAAGACAATTGAAACAGAGATATACTCGGAAAACCTAAACGCCCTGAAAAATAATTTTGAACGTCGCTTCTCTAATTTCCATAAAGTTCAACAAATATTATTATTCATCTCAAACCTATTTACCGAAATTAATATTTCAGATGTATCACATAAGATTGGAAATATTAATTCAGAAGTCAAACAACAAAAATCAGCGTTATATTTTCAAATGTAAATTTTCTGAAAATACGCACGATTGGATTGATTTTTGTTCTTTGACTTCTGAATTAGTATTTATTCGGCGTGTTATTGTGTCTTAATTGGAAATATGTTTAACAAAAATGTTGACGTTTTGAAAATGTGCTTGCGATAGGCCAAAGTTTGGGAACCACTGATTTAAACCTTCTTCTAGGTTTGTAGTTACTTTTACCGGAAGTTTAGGACTGGGCAATAAGTCGCCTGACTGTCTACATGTAGCCAGAAGTTAGCTTGAAGTACTTAAATTTCTAAAAGATTTCTAAAAGTTAGCTTGAAGTTAATTATGGAATGCAGGAATTGCTACTAATAACAGGGCATTGTACTGATTTGGTAGTACAAGAAATTGCTGTGACTAAATCAGAAAGCTCTAGCAAGAGGCTTCATGAATTCTACTACACTGATTTTGAGGCATAAGAACCGAAGAGAACTGCAACATCTTTTAGAACATTAAGGTTTTATATCAAAATGACCAGAGTGAAACATAAATGAATTGCATGATTAAAGAGAGTACGCAAAAAAGAGACTTGGTGCAACAAAGAGATTTGCTGCACCAGTTAAGAACCGGTGCAACAAGTCTTGCCTGCCTGCCTTGGTCTTGCCTGCCGGTGCAACAAGTCTTGCCTCTGTTCCTGTCCTCTGCGTCATTTAGATGCTCTATGTCCAATACAAAATTTTACAATGTTTAATTTGAGCTTTCGGGAATGCTATGTTGATTATATAACTTCTTTGGAATAAACCTACTAATGACCTTCCGGATTTCTTTCGCAAGGTGAACACTTCACACGCGAATGAATACTTTATTTTTGAAATTAAGTTCAACTATGTCCCTCCCTTCTTGGACATACTTGTTAGAAATTTGATAATGAATATTATTATACGAATATTTTTCGTGGATCATTAGCTGTCTTCACACCGTTGGTTTTCTTAAGTATATGAATATCTGATTTTTATACCCTCTTTAATAATGCAACTAGTTTATGCTTTACTCTTGTTATTTTGATAAAAAATCTTAATGTTCTAAAAGATGCTGCAGTTTCTTAAGATTATTCTACTACTATCATCAAAAGCACATGTAAGAGCTTTCCAAAACTTCGTTTCGTTTTTTCAAACTAAGAACATTTCAGTTTTTACAATCGGTTAAACCTTCATTCTCAAAACTCAATTCTGTCTTTTCTTACTCTTCCATAGTCTCCTTCAAGTTTCTCAAATCAAATTTGCATTCCTGAACGATAAAATAACAGATTTTTATTCATGGATCCTTTATAAAATTTCTTTTAAACGGACAGAAGTGAAAGAAAAAGGTTACAGTTGACAAACAGCTTTGAATCTTTTGGGATGAGCATACGGCCGATATTTTAAAGAAACCTAAGCAGCATCATTGCATGCATAACATCATCACCAGAAAATAAAACCGTTTAGAATTACTCTAATATCTCCTAAATGAAGTTATTTTAATGCTTTTAGCCTACAGATTCGTCCTTGCAATCATGAATCCAGCAACTCTTATTGTATCTATGATACATTCTAACAAAAAAAAAAAAAAAAAAAAAAAAAAAAGGTTTACTGAGTATTGAGATGCACCATTTCTTTTGTTGCAGGCAAATTGTTTACATAAGTTATCTGAAACTCAAATTACATGTGGGCCAAATATACGATTGTGGGCCAAATGTACAATCCGAAAGCTACTGTTTTTTTAAAAAACAAAATGAATAGTTTTTTTTAGCAAAATACATTTTTTTATCTAAATTTTAAATTGTATTTCCTAAATATTTATCAAAGCATACATAAACAGTAATAAAAATCATGAAACGAAAAAAAAATATTCTCTATATATTTTTTGTCGAAATCTAAAAGTTTGCATTTACAAGAAATTTCTGTTGGCTACGCTTCGTAACTGAAACATGTTAATAGCGAAATATTAAACCCTTTTTCAAATTCAGACATTTATTTCATATAACTCTAATATACTGAAGGAACCAATTAATAATTTGGTAATTTAAATTAATAATAAAATATAAAAAAATTTCTAAATGAGACAAAACATGAGAATAAATAATAATGATCTTATTTGTTAAATATTTCTTTGATGCATACAGAGAAAATTCATACATTTGTAAGTAAATAATTATAAACTTCTTTATCTTTTACTATACAACCTTCAGCTACAACAGATTCGATTTTGATAAGGTTTGTTATCTTGGAGAAAATTTACTAGAAACTATCTTTATCAGGAATTGTAGATGCTTATCGATCATTCTTTTCTATTTTTATACTTATTAATTTTCTGTTGGAAAAGAAAAAGATAGAAAGAAAGAAAATGTTCACATAATAAATATACCAAATAAAGCAATTAATCGTTTTCCGAAAATTCGTAACTGACGGTATTTATCATTTGACAAGTATGAAAAAAGTTAACTAGATTGGTATCTACAAATTTTTGAACAAGAACTGTGTCATAATGCAAATTAATTAGCTTCATTTGTAGATTTTCTTGGGCGTTACTCATGTTCGTTTTAATGGTAGTGCAAATAATGCAAACTTGGACTCTAGATCATTAAAATCAAATCTTTCTTCAAATTTTTGTCATAACAGTGCTAATGAATTTACGATAAATGCATTCGCGGACTGCAAAAACTTGCTTCTGGGACAAATGCAGCCCGCAGACCACTGGTCTAGATTAACACATATATTGTTGCTTATAGCTTATGGCTTCAATCATTTTGTAAAGTTACTTCCACGTCTTCAATTATCTAATCCATTGCTACTTAAGCATGGTGAATACATTACAAAGAGCTTGTTGTAGGGTTGAAGGAAAGTTAATCTAACAGAAGATAATTTTAGGTTTTGTAAAGAACCATTTACATTTGTCAAATCAGTGATGTGATCACTTTGTTCATGTCATATTACAAGACTTGCGAATGACATAGAGTCCTGAGGCCAGTTTCCTAAACTATTAACCGTAGCAAATAAAAAGTGGCCGGGTTTATCTTGGTTTCCAACTTTGCAACAAATATACAAAATGACAAATTATATCCCTTTTTGACAAAAGACGAAGGCTTTGTTATTGCTTTTCCACTGTGGACTTCCAGCACACAAAGCAGAGCATCCTCGAGACACTTTGATTTTCACATCTTCGAGACACTTTAGACACCGATACTGCTATGCTTATTCTGGGCTACTATTACCTCGGTAGCACTTTCCAGAGATTCAGAGAGTTTCGTAATGGAGCCTTTGAGTAAGAAAATGCGTAGTGATTTTCCTAAGAGAGAGATCTTAAGAAATCTGTAGAAAAAAGGTGAGAGACGTTGTCTCATGTTTGCATCGTCCAGGTACATTGGCAGTACTTTAGATAACGAAAGATTTGAAACATATATTTGCATGAAAGGGGGTGATTCGACGGAATGAGAACCAGAAACAGCAAGTGCAGTATAGCATAATGGAAAAATCCTTCAATATGCCAAATAGAAACGTAAAACTTTGCGTTGGAACGCATTTGTTGCATTATTGTGACTTGTCTGACAATAAGTCCACGAATTCTGTCGTGGTAAGATGCACAGGATTATGTTTATCGTTCGCATGGGTCTCTGGATATATGTAATAGTACAACTTTACTCAGCTCCGTTCAAGTTTTGAAGGAGAATTTTTCGGGGAAGAGCAGATTTGTTAAGCTTAAATGATATGTACATGAATTGTAATAACAAATAGCAATACTAAGAGTTGTATATCAAAGGGTGAAGATAATAAATAAGTCCTATGCTTTAAAACCTGAGAAATGTAATTATCCCATATTAGTTAGTCAAAAGAAATAAAATTTCGAATTCTATCGAATAAAATATGGAATGTCAAGATACATGATAGTGAGAAACTACATTCATTTTTGGAAATGCCATAGCTATTTTTATACAGAGGACAAAGCTATCGGATTAAAAGAAAACTATTCAATGTAAAATTTAAAATTTGACTAAAAAGAAAGCTTGGAATTTTAACCAAAATCCAAACCAACTTAAAGTTGCTTTTGACAAATTTAAAAAGGCAAAAACCATATTGTATTTTATAATTTATCTAAGTTCACCAATTTTCAGCAAGTGGCCAAGGTAATTAATTTCTTAGTGAAATATTAATAATAGTTTCTCGTTTCAGCTTGTATGTTGGAACGAAGCAGTGCAGTTGCTTATCATGATTACTCCAGCATAAAATAAATACAGGATAGTTACCATTTTAGGAAATCTTCAATTAAAGACATTCACTTTGAGAAAAGATATACTTTAAAAACAATCACCCATTCGATATAATTAATTTGCATTTTGTAATCCTTCAAGAAATCTGAATATTTTAATAAATAAATATAAAGCTCTAAATCAGTGACTAAAAATAAATACATACCTCTTTTGTTACTATTTCTTTCTGCGAAGCCCAAACAGTTTACACAAAGAAATACGGAAGATCATTGACCATGCCCGCTTGTGAAATAACAATGATCGATAAAAACAAACTAGAAATATCTTCACCGGCAACGGGCGGCCACTGGTCATTTCCTGTGGCGTCATTGATTAGCCCACTCAAGTGGGAGGGTTCTTGCTGGTTACCTTAGAGACCATGAGCTGTCTCTTCGAAGTCGAAATGAAAACCCATGTGGGCTTAGTAGAAACAGAAGAATGTAAACATGCCTTTCGGTAACAGATTACATGTACGCCAAAAGTTAAATATAATAGAAATATGTAGTCATTGCGGAGAGATTATTTATTGACTCTCATAAGGGAATTTTTCTCGCAGAACGTTTCCAAATAAATCTTTGTATTAGAAAGGAAAATGCAAATTCAGTAAGCATTTAATTAGTCCAAAGGGGCTTTGTCCCTGAAGACTATTGTTTTCGTTTTGCGATTTTGCGTTGGTTCGCTATAAATGTCCGTTTCACTTTTCAAACTGTTGCCTGAGTCCTACATTATATTTGAAGAAATTAAATACTGAAAAATATGCATAAATGTATGCATATTTCTCGCATTGTGATAAAACAACGGTACATAGAGCCATCGAATTTTGAATGACGTTATCCTACTGCGGATGAAGGCATGTGGAAGCCCAAATTTGAAATTTGAAATTTGTTTTATGAACGATTTAATATTTTGTAAAATTTTAACGAATTTTTGATTAGCAAACTCAAGGATTTCAAAGCGAGCCATGGCAACGTTGTACAGAAAAAACATTTTTATCTCCAGTGTCGGAAATTCTAAAGATATGCTCAATTTAAAACTATTTTGCGATATTGCTCTTGAACTGAATTTGATGGTTTAAGTGCGAAGAACGTGATATTTAATAAATAAAGGCAACATACAAAACTTTAAAAAAATGCCCCTTTAGGCGTAATATAATTTCTGAAAGCTTTGAGATTTTTATTTATTTTTTCATTTGCTCAGCTTGCTGTCTATTCCAAAGAAAATCGGTTAATAGTAAAAGTAATGTTTGTCATCCACGAGTTCCTGTTGCTATGGTAAGTTAGAATAAATTCTTTCAAACCACGAGGTTTTCTGTTTTGCCAATAACCAGTGCTGTCTTCTTAATTGTTGGATACATATTGCCCGTTAATAACACATTTACTTATTCTTTCAGTTTCTTAAATCACTTGATGTTTCATTTTTATAATTTAATGGGTGTTCTGGAGATGTTTTGTAATTCAGTCCAGTTTCGTCAGTATCATACGTTTCGTGTGCCCTTTATTCATTTACAGCCTAAGCAAGATGTCTTGTATCTAGTTATCAGCTTCATGACGATCCGCTCCTTACTTCTCACCATCAATTTCTGGTAAAGAATGTTTTATTTCACCTTCTCTAACTACTGGGCCATATGTAATTTAATACAAAATTCTCTAGTATACTACAAAATGTTAAAAAAAGCCCCTTCGGACGCAGTTTAAAATCTGAATCCTTTCAGATTTTTACAAATTTAATTAATTATTAATTTTTTCTTTCTTTTCTTTTCTTTATTTCCTAATTTGCTTGCATTTTACCTTTTGAATACAATAAAAACGAGCTTACTGTTCTGGCATCGTCCGCGTAGATTATTATTCCGTTCTTCAGATATAACCTTTCTTCTTCAAAGTCAAATAAATTACCAGTTTATTTGTGCTAAAGTTCTATTTTAAAAATTATTCAGTGAAGAATGTATATTTGTTTATTTTGAGAAGAAAATAAGTCTTCCACCCCCCGGATAGGAGCTTATCGATAACCAAGTGAATAAAATCACTGACCAACAATTTGTTTTGTACTATGATTTTAAATTATAAGGATTATTAAAACAAAGGAGTATTGTAATGCGCTACTTCAATACCACGTGACTCGAAAATTTAGGCTATAGCTCGATTTTTCTTTAGATTTGAGTAGTCAATGCTCACTGCAGTTGAGCTGCAGAGGTTGCTACTGTAGTATACAATTTACACTGCTCGTCACTGAAAATGCAACACCAAGAAGGATTGGTCAGAAATTTATGCAAATTTTAGAGTAGACGCACGTCACTGAGTTATGCGAATGATGTGAAATGCGAAGCACTCCAACGCACGTGAAGTAAGATATAAGGGAAGGAACGTGCAGAATGGGCAATATTCGTGTCGTTATTTCTGCCAGAGGAATTATCGAAGAAAGTTGGTTTTTGTCCCGGAGGATACGTGTAATAGGAGAGAATGCCAGGCCGTCATCAACGAAGGCACGTCCAGCAGATAGACGACTTTACGAGGGGTATGGTGATCGGACTGAAAAGAGCGGGTTAGACCTTACGTCAAATCGCAGCTGATACCCACATGGATGCGAGCACGGTGCATCGGCTATGGCGAACATGGTTGGAACAAGGAAATGTGCGAAGACGGAGGGGTGCAGGTGCAGCCAGAGTGGCGTCAGCACGCGTGGATCGACGCATCCACCTACAAGCTGTGGCGGTCCCGCAAGTCACTTGTACCGCGATTCTGCAGCATGGGAAAGATACCCTGGATGTTCCCGTGTCGACCAGAGTCATTTCCCGTTGATTGGTTGAACGTGGCCTGCAGTCTCGGCGTCCGTTAAGAAGACTGCTATTGACCACACAGTATAGACGCGAACGTTTAGAATGGTGCCGGACTGGAGCGATATGGATGACAGAATGGCGAAACGTCGTGTTCTCAGATGAGTCACGCTTCTGTTTATCCAGTGACAGTCGCCGGATACGTGTGTGGCGTTGGCGTCGACTGTCACTGATAAACAGAGACAGATCTAATCCGGCAGTAACTGTGGAACGCCCCACCGCGTGACAATGTGGCATAATGGTTTGGGGCGCTATTGCCTATGATTTCAGGTCACCTCTAGTTCGTATTCAGGGCACTATGACGACCCAACGATACTTGGATAATGTACCGCGGTCGGTGGCAATCCCCTACCTTCAGGGGCTGCCTAATGCAAATTTTCAGTAGGATAACGCCCGATCACATAGTGCTCGCATCTGCCAACATGCTCCGCAAAGTATACAGATGCTTCCCTGGTTACCGTACTCTCCTAACCTGTCACCAATCGAACATGTGTGGGATGTGATTGGACGCCGTTTTCAGACTCTGCCCCTGCCTCGTTGAGAAGACGAACTGTGGCAAATGATTGAAAGGGAATGAAGAGCCATCCCTCAAGACACCATCCGCTCTCTCATTGAGTCTATGCCTAGACGTGTTTCTTTGTGCATCGCTGTCCGCCGTGGGCCTACATCCTACTGAACCTAAGATATCTTGGGATTGCAATAGATAATAAACTTAACTTCATTGAGCACCTACAGTAAATTAAGAAGAAAACCTCCAGTATAGCTAACAACCTGAAAAGAATGCAAGGTGTCGGATGGGGCTCAAACCCCCAGATACAAAAGCTGCTGTATAATGTTATAGAAAAGTTAGCACTGTATGGCGCAGCGATATGGGCGTCACCAATGACGGTAAGAAAACAAAAGCAACTCCTATCCATAAGGCCCTTTCTTTTAAATTATTCGAGAGCTTACAGAACAACCTCAAATGCTGCACTGTTTCAGCTCACTAGCAGCATCCCCCTGTTCTTAGTAGCAGAGCAGGAACATGCAAAGGCTTCAGTTCTTCGGCTAAGAGAAGACTGCAAAATTAAAAATGAGATAGTAGCTGCCAGCTCTTACACCTCACTGATCCATTCATATGAAAGACACCCAGCTAGCCGAAATAATATCACACTATGCATAAAGCAGAATAAATACCAAGCATTATTTCCGAAGATCTACACTGATGGTTCTGGCATAAACAACGGAAAAGGATGTGCTTTAAAAATATATCTCAGTGATCATGACGCAAAAGATTTCAAGTTCCAACTTGACAAAGAGAATAGCGTTTTTCAGTCGGAAATGTTCGCGATTTTGCAGGCAATCAACGTAAGCACACATCATCATTTTCCAAGGACTTAGATCTATACAGATTGCCTCTCGGCAATGCATGCACTCGTGAACACAAATAATAGATCACCATTAGCTCAGGAAATTCTTATAAAGTCCTCCAATGCCCAAGGCCAACACTTCTTTATAATCTGGATCAAGGCCCATGTTGGTCATAAAGGAAACGAAGAGGCTGACATATTAGCCAAGGAGGCAGAACAGGGAATCAATGAAAAAAATAAAATAAAAAAAAATAAATAAAAAAAAATAAAACTACAAATCACAACTAAAGACTTATGGCAACAGTGGTGAGACGCTGCAAATACAGGCAGAAGAGTTTACAACCTCTTCACCAAAGTTGACTCTCCTCCAATCCCTCTCTCCAGACATATCACGTGGTTTATCACGGGGCACGGTCCCTTTCCCACGTACCTCTATGCAAATCTTTCTTCATCAGACTCCTGTGCATGTGGTGAAAAGGGTCACCCCGAACATTATCTATTTTCCTGCCCGTTTACAGATTCCTTTCATCTACACTCATGTCCATAAATTAAGGATAATTCGGAGTCACGCGGAAATCGAACTATAAAATAAATATATCACCTGTAAAATCACTACACACATCTTCAAGAATCATATGCAAATTTCAGGAGTGTGTATGTGTGATTATGGCAAAGCCTCGAGGGCTATCTGCCTAAGGGGAGGGATGCCTTCGTGGAGGACTTTCTAAGGGAAACTGGCTCGTATACACGTTACACATGGGGAAAACCACGAAAACGCCCATGCAGCCAGCCCGTTCGCGGGATTCGAACCTCGGACCGAACTACTAGTGTTCAGCGACTTTACCGCTCGGCCGCTGGTGGGCCCCCGCAAATTTCTGGAAGTATCTAGATGACACCGATGGTACATCACAATGACGAGAGTGTAAGAGAGTGATATATAAGGAATATCGGCCGTTTGGAATGTGGGTGTTTAAATTTTTATGTCCACAAGGGTCGTGCGCGGGGCCACACTTATGGAACATAACGCGTAATGAAGTGCTCTCTGCTGCATGGCCCGCGCACACCCAAATCTTC